GAATATGGAATTTTAGAATATGGACAAGGTATTTAATTTATGCAGTAAAAAATCAAAAAAAAAAAAAAAAGAGAATTTAATATAAATATAAAATTTTCTTTTAGTTTTTATTCAATATACAGAATTAAATGATGATTATATGAATAATAATAATGAATCAGAAAAAGCAATTATACTTGAACAAAAAGTTGTTGTAACAAAAAATCCATGTCATCATCCAGGTGATGTTCGAGTTTTTACAGCTGTTGATGTGTCTCGATTAAGACACTTAAAAGATGTTATTGTTTTTCCACAACGAGGAAAACGACCACATCCAAATGAAATATCTGGTTCGGATCTTGATGGTAATTTAAAATTATTCTTTGTTTTTTGTTTTTTTGATAAAAAAAAAATTTTTTTTTTTTGCTAGGTGATGAATATGCTGTCATATGGCATTCAGCATTTATTCCTCAAACATCAAATGATACACCATATGATTATGATTCACAAATGCCAATGTTACGTATTGCTGATCGTCCTATTAATCGTTCAGATATTCAAGCAACTGTATTAGATATTAGTGAACAATCATGTGTGGGTAAATTATGTTCACTTCACTTAGCTAATATGGATCTTTATGGTGTTGCACATTCAAAAACATTAGCTATTGCTGGTTATATTGCTGAAGAATTAGATGCACCAAAAACAGGACAACATCCATTAACACCAAAACAAATTGGAGAATTACAAACTGAATTAGGAAATGAACGACCAGATTATTTTGATAAACCATATTACAAAACTTATCCTTCAACACATGTACTTGGTAAGATTTTAATAAAAGAATATAACCTTTGTATTTCTTGTGACTAGAAGCTATTGAGTTGGGTCCAGATCCGAAAACTTGGGATCTAATAGTGACTTACGAGGGAACATTCTCAAGTGTCACATCGCTTTTGATTCGAATGTATGCGCATCATATAGACCCTAATGATCTATGAATACTTTGAAAAAAGTTCGTGCCGCTTGCTTATTACTGCCGAGATATTGCATTTTGACTGTATGTTTAAGAAAAAAAGCTGTGATTCCCCTCAGGAACATTAGAAAAACTAAGTTTCGAATTTCGACTTGAAACTTTGCATAGAGACAGGCCTCTGTGAGAATAGTTTATTGTGAAAGTTTCACATCTTTTCATTGTTCCCATCCTAAGATACAGCTATGGCAAAATAGCTTATATACACCAGCAGATTCCGATGTTCTTATTACAGACTAGGAACAATCAAAAGATCTGAAACTTTCACAATAAACTATTCTCCTTGAGACCTGTCCTTGTGCAAAGTTTCAAGTTGAAATTCGAAACTCAGTTTTCCTAGTGTTCCTGAGGGGAACCACGGCTTTTTGCCTATACATACAGTAAAAATGCAATAGCTCGGCAGTAATAAGCAAGCGACACGAACTTTTTTCATAGTATTCATAGATCATTAGGGTCTACATGATGCGCATACGCTTGACTCAAAAGCAATGTGACAGTTGGGAATGTTCCCTCGTTAGAGCAGTTGTTATTTTTTTGAGTTTTCTTCTTGATGATAATAACTCGGAAGAATCTGAAAAAAAAACATTCGAGTAACTGAAAGGATTCTCTGGTAGATCTAGATATTCCGATAAAATTGTCTGGATGAGGATGTCTGATAAATCAAAACTCACAAAATCAATTTTCTGGTATTGATTTGAAACTTTTTGAAAATGATTTTATTTGAAAGAGCAAAATGAGATGTCTCGGTTCTCTTCATAACGTTCGTTCGTTAAACTGCATTCAATTTACAGAATTAAATATATGCCAAAAAAAATTGATCTTATGATATTGGTTTATCAGACATTCTCATCCAAGCAGTTTTATCGGAATTTCTAGATCTACCCAAGAATCATTTCAGCTACTCAAATAGTTTTTCAGATTTCTTCTAGCCATTATCATCGAGAAGAAAACTGAAAAATACAACTGCTCTAAACCTACGTCCGCCACTATACTATCGGCGCTAGAAGTCAAATTACTTGGAAACTTTAGATAGGAACTAGATAAAGATCTGCAGTTTTCAGCATTCGACAGAAGATAATAGTGGTCAATCAGATATGTCAGTTTTTTAACTGTCCCAACAATTAATCAAACAGATGAATTTCTCGATACTCATTTTGAAAGCAAGATTTTCACAGAATATTCTATTTCATTTTAACTTGTAATACCATCGTTGCATAAAAAATAATTGATTATCTTTCTACCTTGCTCCATTCAAGCGGCTTTCCAGTTTTATAGAAACCTTAGATTTTGTTTCGTTGATCGCCGATCATTTGAAAATACCTTTAGAGAACGGTAATTGACCATGTTGAGTCGAATGATGACATCTGTTTTTTGTTTTAAAATAACTTAACATCTTTATCACAGATTTTTTGGATTTTCTTATTGTCTCTCCATAGAGTCGAAACAGGCAATCCTTTGAAAACTCTATTTCTGCCGACTTTTTACAGCTTTGTAATAACTTTGGACAGAAACAAGATTTGCCTTTGTCTGGCAGAAAGGAAAATAAAAATAAGTAGCCAATGTCATCGCCAAGTGAATAGGATTGGGGCCGGCATCAGGAGAGGAACGGCCTAGTGACCATCGTCCGTTGTGAGAGGGGCCAGGTCACATGGGTTTCGCTCTTCCTCCCGGTCACCACTTCTAGCACTCCGAGAATGAAAGCACTTTCTGTCCAATTTTCAGCCTTTCCACTTCTATAAAATATCGACAATTCTGGTCATCACTCAGCTCAGAATGGTCAATTACCATTCTCTAAAGAGAATTTCGATTGATCACAGATTATTGAAGTAAAATCTGAGATTTCTAAAAAACTGTTAAGCCGTTTTGTAAGTTAAAATGAGATGGAAGATGCCGTTAAAATCACATCGTCAGAATGGATATCAAGAGATTCAAATGATTGATAAATTGTTGGATGAATAAAAATGGACATACTTAAATGGCTATGTCTATGGAATGCTAACAACCTCCGAACTTTATCTTGTTCCTATCGAAAGCTATTCGAAAAAACATTTAAGTATCTTGACTTCTAAGCACCGATACTGGTAATAAGATAGGAAAATTATCAATTTTGAACCATCTTCCAAAGTATTTTTGAATTCTAAAATGAAATTAGTACACTTTAATTGATTATGCATAGATTAAAAACTTGAGAGAATATAAAATATGTACGAATTAAACAAGAATAGAAAAATATAATTAGTTATAGGTAAGAGTTAATACCTTTGATCAGCCAAATAATAATAATGCATCGATTTTCTTCATAACAGATTCTATCTCTTCTCAAAATAAT